CGTGTTAGACGTTCCTGCCTTCCCGGTGCTCCTGGACCCTTGCAGCTGTCGGTGTCGTACCTACCTCTCCAGAGCTCCAACCATCTCCCTTAGTAGAATCCTCTCTCTTTTGCGCCAAACAACCTTCTTTCAACCCCCCGCCTTTACCAAGTCATCAACACGACAACTTCGAGAAAGTCACGAGAACCCAATTCTACATCCCTACACTCTTTTTTGGTCGCAGCTGTAGCAGATCCCTGCAATTATGGCGTCGAAAAAGACAAAACCCACCGCTGGTGACGACGTCGACATTGACGAGCTGCTGTCTGGCCTTGACCGCGATAAGAAGCCTAAGAAGACAACAAAGTCTAAGCCGACCTCTGCCGCATCCAAGGCACTTGCCGATCAGGATATTCTCGCCGACCTTGAATCGGAACTGGCTGAGCAGCCTTCACGACCTCATACTCCCCGCCTCAAGGATGCCACCCGCCGTTCCACAGCAACACCCCCCGCCGGCGACCCTCGCAAGTCTACCGATAGTGCACGCAGCCTGAAAGCAACATTCACACCAAGCGCCACGAGCTCAGAACTTCACGAGAACGAGAAGAAGCCAACATCTGAGCCTGTCCAGCAAGAAGCTGCCCCTCAAGCCTCTGGTGGAGGATGGTGGGGTGGCATTTTATCCACGGCCAGTGCTGCTATGAAGCAGGCCGAAGCCGCTGTCTCACAGATCCAACAGAATGAAGAGGCCAAGAAGTGGGCAGACCAGGTCAAGGGAATCAGGGGACTTGATGTCAACACTCTTCGAACCTATGGTATGTTTGAACTGACACCGAATTATGAATCTAGCTAATTGAGAGTTAAGGTGACGAACTCCGACATCGTGCTCTCCCTACCTTCACCAACATCCTCCACACCCTTGCGCCGCCTATCAGTTCCCATGAACGACTTCTCATTCATATCACCCACGATCTTGTCGGCTACCCGTCACTCGACCCTCTGATTCATAACGTCTTTGGCCATGTGATGGCACAGGTTGAAGGCGGTGACCTTCTTGTCATCCAGCGTGGCCAGGAGAGCCACTCTCGACGTAGTACCGACAGTATTACTGGATGGCACGACGGGCCTTGGTGGAGACAAACTGATACGCCCCGTGAGCTCGGATTGATCAAGGGTCTGCCTGAAGGAACCAAGCTTTGCCGCGCCAACGCCGAATCGCATGCGAACGAATACTTCTCTGCCAATGGTGGTGTCGAAGCAGCCAAGCACAAAGCCACCGAAGATGTGAGCGAGACCAACCCTGTTAGAACCTCGGATTTGTTCCTGGCTGTCCAGGCAATTTCTGTGGATGAGGACAAGAACCTGTTCGCTCGCACTGCTTCTGCGGAGAAGGAGAAGGACTCTTCTGGTGTCGAGAATCAAGATGAGAACGAGGAGCTCATTTGTTTCGCTGTTTTCATCCTAGATCCTGTTCATGACATTGAATTTTATACCGTCAGCCAGTCTGTTCCTGCTCGATGGGTTCAGTGGCTCGATACTCCTGCCCCTCTCACACCTCGATCTGGCGAGGATGGCGATGTGACCGACGCCAATATTCCCGAAGAGATCAGGGATATCATTGAGAGCGGTGGGGTTGACCCTCGAGAATGGGTTGCTGAGTGGCTTGAGGAGCTTCTCAACCTTTCTATTGGTACTGTTGCTCAGCGATATGTTGCTCGCCGCATGGGTGTAGGTGAGGGTGGCCTGGGTAGGGGCAAGAGAAGGATGGAAGATCTCGTGCAGGACAATGCTGGTGAGGCTGCACGTGCTGGCGTCATCTAAACGACGTGTAGGGAAAACGTTAAAGTATGTTGTATGACAAGGTATGTTGGGCGTTGGAGTTTGCGACCGGTAAATGTAACCTTCGGAAGCTTAAGTGGGCTTGGAAATATTTGAATACTGGGTTCTCTTTTTATCACGCAGGGCTAGGATCGCTTTGGAATCTACACTGTCATTAATATCAAGCTGGATTTTGAACGTCGACTAGCTCGACTATGCTATACCCGCCTCTAAAGTCTGACCACAGAATTCTATCCATGTCCTGAAGCAAAATCTATGTATGACCAACTCGATGAACTGTTCCAGCCTTCTTAAGCTCACCTCGAGCCTCTCTGGTGGCACCCTCCAAATCAACCTTCTTCAACGGCCTGTAGACGGGATCCCACATCTGCTCCCTGATCCATTCCTCCAAATCTTCTTCCTTCTCAGGGATGCCCTCCTGTGTAGCCTCACCATCCTTGACAGCTGCTTGTATCACATTGCGGGCAATGCGGACACTGACATCCCGCACTGAATCCACGTCTGGGAGAAGAGGAGCCGTTGAGTCTTTGAGAACAGGGCTCAGTGAGGAAACTCCCTCCACAGCGGCTACAAGCATGCGATCTGTCAAGTGCTTGGCACGGGAGAGCACGCAGCCGAGACCGATGCCTGGGAAGACAACTGAGTTGTTGCATTCGCCGACATTGATGGTGATTTCAGAACTGTCCTTGCCCCATGGGCCCTTGACAGGTGGGAAGGGTGAGCCTGTGGCTACAAGGGCCTTTCCATCGGTCCATTTGAGGATATCTTCTGGCTTGGCCTCATGAAGACGTGTGGGATTTGAGAGAGGAAGAACAATAGGGCGCTCGTGGTGCTCAGCCATGGCGCGGATGACATCCTCGGTGAAGGCACCAGGTTTGGTAGACGTACCAACAAGAACATTAGGACGGACCTCTTTGATCACGGACAGGAGATCAGCGTCCTTGTCTTTCCACTCTGAAGCATCCTTAGTAAAGATCTTTTGAGCATCCGTGACACCTTCAGTTTCCGAGGTGATGAGACCAGACTTGTCGATCAACCTAAAAAGTCAGTCATGCTCGGTCTCATTGGCTATATAACTTACCAGATCTGTTTTGCTGCCCCCTCATGGCTCATATTTCCTTCCGTGGCAATAGCATCTCGAACTTGGTCTGCGATACCAAGCCCAGCGCTACCGGCTCCAAAGACGACCATTCGGAGGTCTTTGAGCTTTTGCTTGCTGACGTGTAGACCTGACAGGATGGCTGCGAGAGTTACACAGCCTGTTCCTTGGACATCATCGTTGAAGCAAGCAAAGTCTGGACGATACCGATCAAGAATCTTCCTCGCTATTAATACATCAATGTCAGAAAATGCCACCAGACTGGGACAGAGGGTGTATACCGTTGGTTAGACCAAAGTCCTCAAAGTGGATGTAGGCCTTGGGGTAGAGCTTCCTGGCAGACTGCACAAATGTGTCGACAAACTTGGCGTACTCTTCACCGCGAACACGCTTCTCTTTGAGACCAAGATATAGCTCATCATCGAGAAGCTCCTTATTGTCTGTGCCGCAGTCGAGGACAACTGGAAGGGTTCTGTTTGGATGGACGCCTGCACAGAGAGTGGTGAGGACTAACTTGGCGACGGAGATGAGAATACCGCCAACACCTTGGTCACCAATGCCGAGAATTTCTTCGCCGTCTGGACACGATATTAGTAGCCGCTGATACGATGTAGACGATACACTGACCAGATACGACAATATAGTCAATATCTTCAGGGCTTCCCCATTGCGCTAGATTGTGATGCACATGATCCGGGTCTCGGATGTTAAGATAGCAACCTTCTGGACGTCTAAAGAGTCGAGAGTAATTCTGAATAGCATCGCCTTCAGTTGGCGTATAGATGATGCTCATCATCTCATCGAGATGAAGTTGCAGAAGCTTTACACAAGAATTAGCATTGCGGTTATATCGGAACAATGCATGTATGATACCTTGTAATACAGAACCTCATTTTGATCCTTTAGTGAAGCAAGAAAGGTATTTTTGGCTAAATCGTCAGGCCTTGATGAATATTGCTCATATGCGCGTTTGCATTGCTGTTCAAGTGTCTGAACACCCTGAGGTAGCAAGCCTGTGAGATTAAACTCCCGACGCTCATCTGGAGGAAAAGCAGATCCCTTGTTCAGATATGGTGTGTTCAATAGTGATGTACCACTGAGTGCGCAGTTAATAGGACCAGTGGTGCTGAGTGGTAGATCACCAAACTTGGACTTTTTGGAATGATCTGCCTTCGTGGCATAGTTGTTGGTGAGGTTCAAGTATCGCATAGTGGAGGGATATAAACGGAAGCGATGGACAGGGGATGATCTGGATAATTTGAACATGATTATTTACTTGGCAGTCTTGGCTTTTGATATGTGGTATTAATAGTAGAATGGCATAGATACCTAGGTAGACACGGCAGTTGAGATAAAACATCAAGTTCTGATCCGATATCACAAGGATGACGTCGTTGAGCTCTCACTGGCCTAATCCACTCTGACGAAAGAATACGAAACCTTGATTGCATCTGCACGTGCCAAAGGTTGAAAAACAATAGGGTCTTTGATATCATGAACTTCGATAATATTCCAGATAATCACATGATAGTGACACATGTACCATGTATACCAATAAGAGAAAAGAATGTCGGTGCTCCTGGAGCCTCGCCCGTGTAGAAATTGATACAATGTTATCCACCAAAAGGTGACCAACAAAGACGAGACGGACGCGGACTATGATGGCCCTTGTTGTTCTAGCAACTACAACAATAAAAAGAAGCACAAAGAATTGTGAGACCTTTTTTCGTCGTTAAATCATCCTTCAGACTACTTCGTGCGGATAGTACAAAACGCACCGTCCGTAGAAGACCCTCCGTGAGGAAGACTCATGGGAAGATTGAGTGACTGAAGGAAGAACGCTGCGGATAGAAATAGAAATGGACCTACCTTGTAACAAGACGCATGATTAGATCTTGAGATCGCGCCTTGTTGTGTCGCTCTGTGAGAGAGACTTGGAGAGATAGTGAGAGAAGGGAAGATTATGGTGAAGGAAAATTTGAAGCGCAGGTTTTGGTGGTGGAGTTGAAATGTACGTACCCCACTGTTCGGTTGGCGGGCCACAGAACCCAGCCACCAAAAGATGCCGCATTTCAACTTGAATCCTTATTGGCTCAACAACTTACACCAGAACAATCACTGCTGGATATTGCGTCTCACAGCATAAACCTTTAGTGGCTTGCCAAGACTTGTATTATCTGCATTTATAAATACAGAAATCATGCACGCCAGTGCATTTTGTCCCATGGACTTACTAGGTATGGCTATCTATGCTTCTAAGCGTTCTCGTGGTGAGATGGCCTTGTGTCAATCTCTCCATCCTCCACCAACGCCTTCTCAGCCTTCAAAGCGTCAACCTCTAGCTCGATTCCGAGACCAACATCTCGGCGCGCCTCATCCAGCATCTTTGCGTCCTCTTCACCAGTGTGGCTTCCGAAGACCCGGTCCATATCCTCGAGAGTAGCACCCTTCGTTTCTGGAAGACAAAAGTACAGCCAGACCATACTGCATGCCAAGAAAACGGCAAAGAAGATGTAAGTGCCCCATTCGAGGGTCTCGAACATTGGGGGCACGTAAAAGGCAACAGCAAAGTTGTTGAGCTAGAGTCACTGTTAGTTATCGTCATCCCATAACGAGATGGGAATACGTACCCAGTTACTGGAGGCACCAATCGAAGAACCCTTGGATCGGATAGATAGAGGGAAGATCTCGGCAACAAGAGTCCACGACACAGGACCCCAAGTAGCTCCAAAAGCTCCAACGTAGAGCCAGATGAAAGCCACGGCAACCCAACCTGCAGCACTATGCGTCTCCCAATCGTGCTGGAACTTGGCGACAATAATACCGGCGAGAACCATAGAGATAAGCATGACGATGGATCCAACATAAAGCATGGGCTTTCGTCCAACCTTGTCGATGATCGCCATCGCAGGTAAAGTGAAGACGAAGAACACAACGCCCGTAACTCCTGTCGCCAATAGAGCCTGCGTTCCTCCGGTAAGACCTAGACTTTCAAAGACTTGGCTGGCATAGTAGATGATCGCGTCGATGCCCGACCACTGCTGCCAGAACATAACCAGCCAAGCTGTAGCAACCCGTTTGAAGTTGTCCTTGGTGCGGAAGATCTGATAGTACTGAGCAAACTGGGCCATCCAGACACTGCCCTGCTCTTTAGCAGCCAGATTGGGGAAGTTCTTGGCGAATGCGCGCTGTTCAAAGAGAGCCTCTGCCTTGATCTCCTTGTACTCCACCTGAATAAGCTCGTGCTCGATGGGAAGGTTGCGAAGGTAGGACAGTGTCTTGAGAGCCTCCTCATCACGACCCTGCTTGACGAGCCAACGTGGGGAAAATGGCAACCACCAGATTCCAAGAGCGAGAAGAACAGCAGGGATTCCTTGGATGATGGATGGGAGCATCCATGCGAGGTTGCTTTGGCCTTCTCCTGTGCCGCCGATGTAGTTGCTGCCGTATCCGATCCAGAATGAGAGCATGATGCCGAGGATAGTGCAGAATTGGTAGAAGGAGACGAGGAAGCCACGGAGTTCGGGAGACGATAATTCGGCGTTGTAGAGAGGACTAAAGAGACGTCAGTCAGACACGACTTTTTGGTATTGGGCAATAGTTAGGACTTACCCAACACCACTGAAAGTACCAACTCCGATACCAGTGAAGAATCGACCAGCATAGAGCATAGAAGCATTATCCTTGGTTCCTCCGATATACAAATAACTGCCAAGAATAACCCAGCAGCAAGCCATAAACATTGTATACTTTCGTGAGTAGACTTCACCAAAGACACCAGCGGACAACGAGCCCAAAATACCACCGAGCTGAAGGATCGAGGTGAGCCAGCCAGTGGCTGAGGACGAGTTGACGATAGAGGGGAAGTTTTCCTTGAAGCGATGCATCACCAGGGACTGGCCTAGGACACCTTGTTGGTAGCCATATTCGAAGCCGCCGAAGCTAGAATCGTTAGTGACAGATTGCATATGAGGATGCAGGAGACGAACGAGGCGAAGAGAGCGATGACGATGAGCTTGGGGTTCTTGGCGAGAGTCCTCCATCGGTTTTGGTAGGCGAGCTTCGTCCGCTCGTCAACTGTCGACTCCATGATGAATGAAGCTTGAATACAATCTATTCACCACCGTATAAACAAGAAGTGAAGTAGTTCAACCAAGCCACGAGGCAAGTACAAGTGTGATACTGTAGAACCAAGATCAGCATTGGGAGAAGAATGGCCCTTATATAACGAGCCACATTATTTCCATCATCGACAATTTCATTGCCATTTCCAGCCATCAACTACACGGATCACAATGTTAAAGCTCCCCGCAACTAACAGCTCATGCCAATCCGGGGACCCCAGATGCAACACGAAAAGATACAAATGACGATGTATCTTTATGGAGTAGCACTGCTAGGGTCGGTGAGACTCCGGCGATGGGATGGGGGTGGGTGGGATGTCCATATTGGGAAAGACTTCTGTATATGGCAATATCAAGCACTTCAGAATTATAGCCTCATATTGCCTGATGAGCGAGGATATTATGAGCACGATCTTTATGTATGATTGATTCACTACTAGAAATGCAAGCTACGTTCAGGACGAGTATCGATACAGTCAGCAAGTCAGGCAATCATGCAACAAGAGATATTACCATACAAGAATCCACAAAATAAGAATAATCGTATTGCAATCCATACAAAATCCATTTTCTTACTTGAGATGTTACATTGCAAAAGGCAATACCACATCAATGTGTCGGAGTGCCCCGACTTACACGGATATTTTAGTGGGCAAGAGTTCGCCGAGCATTAAAGAAATCACGCGCTGTTACCAAGTTTTCTGACCAAGCAATGAATAGCAAACATGCACTCTTTTTAAACGCTCGGGATCATGAAACACATTTCTTCCCCACATGTTTCCCCGGTATCAGTTTTGGCCCCGGTGTCGGCCCTGGCTATGATGATCCCACATCTCTTCTCCAATGCCCAACATCCTCAGTGTATGTTCCTCCAGTGACGGTTTATCAAATTCAGACAAGTCGACTTTAACACCGACTGTCCTTGGCATCGGCAGATGAGCCTTGTATCATATGAGGCTCAACTGGGAATATTGATCCGCAAGTACATGGATGCTGATGCTAGGCAGAAGGATTTTCTGGGTTAACACTGGGCAGAAACAGGGGCCAAGCAATTGGAAGTGCTTGTGACTTACATAACTCCATGGAACAGTGTACATATACCTTGCCCACTTACACGACGAAGAAGAAAATGGCTTCATCAGTAAATTGAATGGAAGAATGTTCATCGAGCACACTTAGTCTCAAGGAAATTCAATACGAGAAGCCTCCAGCCACGTCTGTTCGCTGGAGGTTGCTGCATGGCTCGCCTATGCTACCCTACATATTTGACGGCGGCTTCGGGGAGCAAGAAAACCTTGAACCTCTATCATAAGTAACAAAAAGATTTTGGTGAACTTAGTGTAGACTTAGGAGGCCTTTAGATCAGTTATTTTTATCAATTAGAGTAAAGTCCTGAAGTTTTTTGAGATGCGCTTATTTCCAGCTTTCGTCTTGTAACCCCGGATTTCGCTAAAATGTCCGACGCGTGTGTGGCGGTTAAAAGTGCCTCTTTTGAGTTCGAGGTTGCTGAGTTAAAATTCTCGGGTATCACAGTTAAAGATGGAGTCTAGGTAGGCAGGAGCAAGAAAACCTCTAACATAAAGGCAAGATATTAAAGTAACTAGTCTAAGGTTTACTAAAACTATGCTAAATTTACCCGAGTCTTTTCATCATTTAGGACAGATACCCTAAGTTTTCTTGCCTCCTTTAGCCTAAGCATGCTATCACGGGCATGTTGTAGCGTGAAAAACGCGAGCTGCGCCATACTTTGCGCCACGGCGATGCGCAAATACTCTCGTCGATCTCTGCCGTCCTGCCCGATGCTGACGATGGGACACCCACCGCCGTACTTAATGAGGAGAGTGTTAAGAATAAGACGGCATGTCCTGCCGTTTCCGTCTCCAAACGGATGGATGTTAACAAACCGGTGGCAGTACTTACTTGCAAGCGCTACCGGGTCGATTTGTCCTTCGTTCGTAGCCTTCCTGATATCGGACTCTAGTTCCTCTATCATGTCGCGCATCGCAATGCGGACCTTGCTATGGTCCATGAAGACATGAGAACCACATCGGACATTCCATAACCGGTACCGTCCACTGTATACGTTCCAGGATATGTGTTCGCTGATTTCGATTTTATATGTCAGGTCACCATGAGCTTGCGCGATGATATCCTCAGATAAGTCCTTGCCGTTGATGCAGACTTGCTCGATCATGAACCGGGCAGCCTTGGCGTGTTGAACGATCTCTCGGTAACTTTGAAGGATATCGGCGTGTTTGCAAGGTAAGTCGTTATTCGAGAGATAGATTTCGAGTTGTTCATAATCTGGGTCGCGTTCGCCAATCTCTTCGGGAGGCTCTTTGCCTCCTCGGAAGACGTCTTTGCAGAGCTTTAGTGTGATGTCAAGACCTCCGCCAACATTCTCGATCATATTGGACCCATAGACCATGCGAGCGAGTTCATCTATGATATGTTCGTCAAGGTCAGACTTATCTTCAGACTGTTCCAGCCCTTCTTTGACATCCGTAATGTGCCTGCGTAGTTCCTGGTGAAGTTCTTTAGGGCTCTTTTGCAGGATGTTATACTCATAAGCGTCGTCATCCATGTTGATAACAAAGGCTTCTTTACTAAGAGGAGATAACATGCGCCGAATGGATCGTCCAAGATGGTTATCCAAAATGTAATCATCTGGATTATCAAAGGGGGCATCGAACCTTTGTCGCTTAGGAGCGGGTGTCTTTCTGGTATGGTTGTTCTCGTTTTGAAGACCTTCAAAGGGGCCCTGGGACAGGCTTTTTCGTTTATGATTGAGCATCTTGGTGCTGTGGAAAGGAGCTTGTATATGAGGTGGCAGAAAGTGTTGGCGAGTATAAAGAAGGAGAAAGGTTGAAAGTTGGATCAGAGTGGGGGGAAGGGTCCCCTTTATACCTGAAGTGACTCTAAAGTTATAAAAGTTTACCCAAACCTTATTACTTTATTGAATATTAGCCAAGTCTACCTAAACTTATATAACTTTATTGAGTATTGGTTTTTTGTTCGAGCTGTGGCCCGAAAGAAGGGTATCACTTGTCAGGGGTGCTCGAAACCCAGGGGAGGATCAAGAAAACTTCTAATCGTAAATCAAAGCGCCAAAAAAGATTGATCTAAAGATATACCAAATCTATACTAAATTTGAGTAAGGTTTTATTAGAATTACCTAAGTCTTCTATCATTTAGAGTAGAAATCAGAAGCTTTCTTGCTTCCACCAGGCTACTCGAGGTAGACCAATACAGTAGTGGCAATGGCCATAGAAGTGACCCTTACTATAGAGTCTTTGGACAGTCTTGAAGTTTCAAAAGCTTAATTCTTATGGCCATATCAAACTATCATACAGGTATTAGTGCATTGAGAGAAGTCACATATTCCGTTTACGACCGTCGAGGCCTTAAGATCTCGCGATATGTACAGTTGTATATTCAGATGGCCTATGAACAGCGACTTTAGAATCAAAGAGTGTCCCCAAATTCCTCCAATATCCGCCTTCATAATCTTGTAGTCATTCTCAATCTCATATATACTCATCGTTCCCAACCCTCATCCTCCTCTTGGATCAAGGTCTCACAACAGACATCCATCGTCTCTTTTGGTATGTTAAAGCGCTTACTGGGCAGTGTTGCCGTTGTTACCGATCAGGTTGGGGGAGCTGCGGAGGTTGCCAGTGATCTTGCCAGAAGTAGCAGTGCTGGTGAGCCAGTTGGTGACACCAGAGACGCCGGAGACACCGTTGACAGAGATACCGTAAAGGACAAGACCAGCAATGTGGGGAGTAGCCATGGAGGTACCGCTGATGCTGTTGGTGGCGCTGTTGCTAGTGTACCACGCAGAGAGAACGGCGGAACCGGGAGCAAAGATGTCAAGGACGGTGCCGTAGTTGGAGTAAGAGGCAATGGCCCAGTTGCTGTCGATAGCACCGACGGTGATAGCGCTGGCAGCAGAGGCAGGAGAGGTGTTGGCGGCGTTGGCACCATCGTTTCCAGCAGCAATGGCAGAGATGATACCAGATCGGGAAGCAGAGTCGACGGCGTTGTTGAAAGAAGCAGAGTAACCACCACCAAGAGACATGTTCACGACAGAGCGAGCAGTTCGGCTCTTGGAGATGATATCGTTGGCGGCCCAGTTGAAACCAGCGAGAATGATAGAGGTGCTAGAAGAGCTGCCCTGGAAGACCTTGACAGCCTGGATGGTGGCCTTCTTGGAGACACCGTAGGTCTTGCCGGCAATGGTGCCAGAGACGTGAGTACCGTGGCCTACAGAATCGGCGTTGTCGCCACTGAAGGCAGTGTAGACGGCCTGAGCACGACCCTCAAATTCATTGTGGGTGGTTCGAACGCCAGTGTCGACGACGTAGGCATATGTGTTGGTACCAGCGTTGGTATCGTAGATGTAGCTGGTAGATCCCCTGGAACGGTGAGAGACCGTGCCGAGTCCCCAAGTGGCGCCACTCTGAGTAGTCAAGGCACGCTTTGCGAGAGTCTCTGCCTCTTCTTCCTCCTCCTCAACCCAGTTGATGACCCACTCGCGGTCCTCTTCGACGATGGCAACCTGGACTAGATATCAGCATCGGATAGTTCATCGACATTCGGTGTCACTTACATCGGGGTTCTCCTTAATCTCTTTGATGGTGCCCTTGTCGAAAGAGCCAGCATAGCCGTGGAAGCCATACTTGCCGTTGTAGGTGCGCTCAACACCCTTCTCGGCACGCTTGTTCAGTCCACGCTTGTGAACATCCTCAACCCAGCTGAGATGGCTCTCGACATCGGCAGCAGCGATATCAGACTTGAGGGTGACGATGTACTTGCCAGGAATGATCTTGCTGGAGTCAACCTTTGCAGTAGTAGGAGCGGCGTTGACGAGCCCGAGGAGGGTTGTCGCGGCGAAAGCGAGGTTCTTGAAGTTCACCATTGTGAAGATACAAAGGAGCAGAGGCAGAACAAGAGACGATTGGGGATGCTTGTGTGTGGATGAGACTGAGGGTGATGATGATGAAAAGGTAAGTTGTTTTGAGGAGGAGGACAACACGTCTTATATAGATCTGATCTATGTTGCTAGGCGACTGCTTCAATAACAATATGGATGGGCTGATACGGGGTTCGTATGTTGAGTTCATGAAGTCACCTCTGCCAGCCATTCGCAGCCATGATACATGGTAACGTTAGCTATCATTGTGGTGGCAGAAGTATATCGAACGGTTTGTGGAGAGAGACTTTGTTCTTTGGTGTCCCCCCAGAAGTCAAAAGCCCAACGGCCGGAGATTCTCAACCGCAACTTACAGAGTGCAGGGTTTGTAAGGTGCAAATCTGCAAGTGTCTTGCATCTATTCCCAGACATGATGTCCCATCAAGACACAATCGAAGGGATGATTTTCATCAGCTTCCTCTTGCGGCGACAACCGACAGATTTACGTAGCGTCTCGCCATCGTCTTCAGCAACGCCAGACAAAAAGAGGAAGGCGAGATGCGATGCATCGAGGCGGCAGAAGCTCTGAGAGGCGACTCAGGATAACGAGAGTGCAAAAGTTCTTGAGAATGCAAGAAGCAGGTCGGTGGGCCTGGCATCAAGGCCAAGAAGGATGCATAGGACTTTCATCGTAACGAATACCTTGATGATAGAGCACCAGGATATCGTAATGGGTCTCAGTGGACTTCCTGAACACACCCGGCTTGTCTCACAACTTATGAACAACAATACGTTGACGGAATTCGATTGCATGTGATGAGACATGGCGTGAGGAATAAGGAGGCTACCATCAATAACCTTGGCTATAGTTGTGTGTATTCAGGATCTGTTCAGTGGAACTCCCTGCCGTCAATCATGATCGACATGGCACTAAGAAAACAACCCTCCAACAAGTTACTCCTAAAGATCAACCAAGTAGTCTCGGCCTAGCCTCATATCTCGATCTTGGCAGTGACTGCCGGTATCCAGAACTCCTCAGATGATAATGGGGAGCGGCCCGGGGGGGGGGGAAGGCAAATGCCTTCTAGTCCTTGATTGGAGGCAGGAAACAGGAACATAGCCAGTCGGAATCATGGATCGGCCCGTAGAAGATGCATAAATCCTAGTTCGAGGTGTTTATCGTCAGAGGCTTGGTGAATTGATAGTCGAAAGAAGTCGAGCGGGAAGTTAGTGAACTGCCTGATAAAGCAACTATGCTTCTCCGCAACTCCAGCATAGCCAAAGCAGGCTAGACATTGCCCCTTGATGACCTAGCCCTACCGATGACAAGAGCCGTGCGGGAAGGGTTTCACACCAAGAGCTATGCTGCAACTTGAATAGAGGTTCCAGTCATAGATGAGCATCAAATCAACTTCCTCTTTGGGACACTATGCCCGAGTAGGTGCGTATCGTTGCCGCCGCTGGCCTCGCAGGACAAGACACTGATTCGAATGCTCATTTTCGCTGGAGGCTGATGCAGTGAGGCTAAGTTGTAAGGAAAGCACCCTTGCTTAGCCTCATGATTCTATGGCTCGAAGCCCACGGGAGGATGAAAAGGAGGGCAGCGTGATTTGATGCGAGGGGTTGGAGTGCACTCCTTGCGGAAGTCTTAGATGATCTATATCGATTGTCTCAAACGTTGCAATGAAGACATCGAAATGGTAACAAAGCGACCAAAGCCTGATATTTGGTATCCCTGTTCATTGAATCTGTCGTGATCCACATTCCATCGAGTTTGCGTCGGCGAATAGATATCCTGAGTAGTTGTAAAGTTGAGGTTTCCCACTGTAAGGCCTGGGTGGAGTTGATAGTCTAATAGAGGGGCCGGAGATGCCACGGGCAAAAGCCAAGAGTGGGGAGATAGATCAACCAATGAGAAGTAGCGGAAGGAGTAAACGGGTTGTTGGTTCTTTCCTGTCTTACCTGTCTGCAGAGATAAAGATTTGTGGCTTGGACCCAGCAGGCGCATTGACGCACCCCAGAAGTCTAACTTACAACAACAACAACAACATCATCATCAGGCTTCACAATCACTTGTTCAAGGGTGAGGCCAAGACACTTTAACCCCTGCAGAGACACGGAGATTTTCACTACCCGTTAGCGCCTTCCTTCCCGTGCCAGTTTAATTCTAACCATAATTCTATTCCATTCTACCTATCGAAGCCTGATTTAGGGTGCTAATCTCGAGTCCCTTTTAGGTATCTGCCCAACCTTGGTCAAGGCCAACCTCAGTAATGAATGGACCCCGCTCTATCTTCACATCTCATGACCCTTGCTCATGCATCCGACTAATCAATCAATTAACCCTTATCAGCACCGCATGATGCTATCAGAACAAAAGTACCTGTCATGTTCTTGGATAGTACCTATTCTAATGTGTTGCATTAGGTTATCGGTCTGCCAAGACCTACGTATCATTCTTGTTCAATACCGAACTAAACTCCGAGTCCAAGCAACCCAACCCATTCGTGGAAACTATCCGACAACACTCGCACGCCATCTTGTACAGCACTCGCTTATGGCCAAGGAACTTTTTGACTGGTCTAGCGATGTTTTGAGTCAGGAGACGCTGACAACCCTGGTCGCTCTCAATAGCTTAGGAAGACCAGCAATTGGCTGCCATCATCGATACCCTGCTTTGAGCCTTTTCAATAACTGTCCAAGGCATACACATCATACTGCTTAGCGAATCTGTTTATTACTCCGTGACCACGCCGCATGATCGCCACGGCCCGCCGGAATCCTCTCGACAAAGGTTTACTATTGTTGCGAGGCTCAGGAACAACAGCAAGAGCTGAAACTGATCTTACGGCTATCAACCGAAGCTGGCTCTCGCAGTCACCCCTAAAACTGAAAGTAGACCACGCCGCTTTGACATTTAAGCATCTATTAAGCTTTACACCAAGTGGTGTCCTTTTGCCCTGGGCTAGTCTGAACTCAACTCATGGCTCAAACTTGATGCCACAAGGTAGCATCTGCTTTAACCACAAGAGTCCGTATGCAATATGGCACCTCTCTCACTCTGGATGAGATCATCGATGTGGTATGCCCGCTTCCTGTACCCTGAGGACCCCTGTCGCCGTTGAATCGACGAGTGTCGCCACTACATGAGATCCTGCCGCTAGGAAGACCTACCACAAAAGTACTTACGACCTTGATTACTTGAGCTCCTTCCTAGCTGGTCACTATTGTCTTCGAACCGAGAGCTATGTCACGATAAGGATCCCATATTGTTCAATATCGTCAGCAGGGAAAGTCGCCTGCGAGGCACCTCAAAATCCATCCCACGCAGCTTCGAGGCGACAGACTCCAACAAAGGTTCCCACATCCTGGAAGAGATCAGGCTTCCGAACATAAATAAGCGCCCCGGTTAGCCAGCCATATGTGCGTTAAGCCTTTGAGGCAACCTGAGCGGTAGCAGTGATATCCAATCACGCAAGGCACGAGGCTTCCAAGACTTCTAGACTACTCTCGCCTTTCTATGGAGGGTGTTCTGCACACACCATTCGAGTTAAAGATCTTCGAAAACGTTCATGCATCTACTTCCATCAATACATACTTCTAGCTCTTCGCTCATCTTCGATTAATCACTTACGACCATTCACAACAAGAAGTTGCTTCTGCTACCTTCCTGTTTACACCATAGTCGCCGAGATGCTGCATCAGCAGGATACAGCGCATCTATCAGATGGTATCTTGTTTACGCTAGAACGTAGGGACACTGATCTTTATTCGATTTCTCTGACCACAAGCAAGCTTTAGAGACTCTTCCACAGCTTCTACCATAACCAAGCCCCCTTACTCAGTGACAGACCATATTTACAACTCAAGAAGCGAAACAATAAGGGGCCAGGCATTTCAAGCCTATCTAAAGCTATATGAATTTTCGAAATAGTAATCGTTGGGGCCGCTATTGACTTCCTTTGTTGTCTAGGTCTTCATTATGGTCGCCCAGTCTTAGGTGTGCCATCAAGGTGCTTGAAAAAGGTGGCCGGCATGTTTTGATTGACTCTGAACATTCTCTCATAACCTAAAATCTGTTTCTGGCAAGTGAATCTGATTCAAACTCTGTTTGGAAAGTGGAAGTTGGGGATAAGGCCGACCCCATAACTTAGGGAGACATGGTCGGCCCGTGGAGTAGTCATACTTAACTTATCTAAGAGGAACCTCAATTCAAGATTCTAGTTCTAACTCCAATACTAGTTCTTGACGAGAGCAGGTAATACTGATTTAACATTGGAGCCCTAGTACTGCAGTACGGTCTTCAACTTCAGCATGAGATCCAAATATTGAGATGCAGTCCATCCCCTTGTCTTTGGAGATAGAGTTCTTAGGTCATGTTCATGACGCCCAATCACCGACGCAGCTTTGCTGATGGTCTTACAAGGACCTTGCATGAGGCAGTGATACGTTGTTATCTTGCCAACACGGCGTGTGGTAGTGAAGGCAGTGTGTAGTCGCACTGCTCCGCAAAATGCTAGCTACACCTCCGGATATGCTGCTTCGTATGATCAGCGGCTCTTCACACACGAGATCATCGTCTTTATCATGTATGTTGCGTGTCACTGCGAAAACAAAACTCGAGACTCGCTAGCACCCTCATCAACACCCCCTCCTGTCCCTCAAGCTCATTAGTCCGAAACTTTCCCTTCCGACATTGATACTCGTCCATCATGCTTCAGTCAGGGAGTAGAGAAAAAGAGAACATATCTGTGATTGTCCGTATGGGTTCTGTCGGCCTTCAGCGCCAGTATCTCCTGAGGTGCATCCAATGCACCAGTGCTCCCGAAAACACGATTCATGACTCAACTCTTTGCGATGCTGACTGATTATATCTCTTTATGTGTGAGTGCCATCAGTCTCAACTGCCGGGCTCACAACTACTGAATAGTAGTGCAGTTCTCTTGTGGTGTAAGAGTAGCAGCCCCTATTGGTCCTCATACCAAAAGGGAGCGGCACCTCACATTGCAAAGGATATGCATTGTCAGCTCAACATGTTGGTAGTTACGTCGACACTGAAACATCCAGGCTTTGTCGCAGATAACCTTAATTCAACTACCTCAAGCTGACATAGACATACAGATATTTACCGACTCCTTTCCCACCATGTCTCTTCAAGCGATCACATCGGACAAGCACTCGACTCCTTATTCCCATCAGTGTGTCTCCCATCGACCTCTTTTGGGGCCCCTTCTGGCATAGGAATACCCGGAACATCCTTGAAAACCGCAAAACTTGACGGTGTCTCCTCCAATACCGGGAAGTGAAACCCGCACTGCGGACACTGTTCATGAAGAACAGCCTGCTCCTCAGCAAGATTATACTTTTTATCCTGAGTGTGATTACACACAGGACACACACGAAGCAGTCTTGTCCCAACAAGCTCGAAATTAGTGATGATGTCCTCCATAATAGCCCCGTTAGCTGCCCACTCCTTGCAGTATTTATGGTAGGTATTCTTGTGCCAGTCGTACAGAGCACCACGACTAGTCCAGAAACTGCATTCGTTGTACCAGCTTCTGTCGTCAGGATGTTCCCACCAGGTTAGGTGTAGAAATCCTGGGAGTGTCATAAGATGGCGACGTGTGTCGGCGAAGAGAACCTTGAACTTCTCGTAAGCGTCTGGGCTGGAGAAGCGGACTCTTTGCATGCTCAGATAGATAGGCATAGTGGCAGAATAATGCTTTGTGTATTGAGAGGATGGTATAGATTTGAGCTCCCTCAAAGCTTTTGTGGTATAATATCAATAGGATCGAGCATCAACTATACAGTAGTTGAAAGTAGCTGACGAGAATTTGGACCCCTTCATACTGCCATCCTCTCACTTTATACCTTACACCAGCATCTGACTTCTTTTATTATGTTACTTGTCACTCAAGACTGGTCAGGAAATTATTTCCATATCAAGAACATAATCACGAAAGCATCTGCGACCATTGGCTTATCAAATATCCGGGGAAGCGGGGGTGATTAAGTTTCCTGATAAAGTTACGATAGCCGTTATGGCTTTGTGGCAAACACGAGTAAGACGTTTTGTGTGGATGTCAGCTGTTGACTAGCTCGTGAGATCTTCATAGCTTAAGCCAACGGAAACTTGCTGATCGTATTGCTGAGACGCTTGAAGATCTAGGCAGAAAACAACATCTCCCGAGGGTCGCAGGTAGCAATCACTATCAATTCACAACTTCATATGCCCGTAACATTAAAAATACTCTGTCTCTCAATCGTGGACCTGCATCCCCAAGTACTGTGTCTTGAGTACAGTACCCTTCTTGGCACCTGTAACGCCAATCTTGACAACCTCACCCGGGACGATGTCGACTAGATTGTCTTCAAACTTGACCCCATCGTCTCCGCTCAATACCGCTAGTCCCTTGATAGGCACCTCAGCGCTAATCTCAACGGACTTGCATCCTTCAGAAATTTCAGTCTTGAGGTTCTTGGGCTTTTGGAAGTGTAGGTACTTCAGTGGCTCGGGCCAGTTGACATATCGTGCAATCTGTTTGCCATCCTGGTAGAAGTAAGCTGCAACAACAGTCTTCGCCTCAAGGTCAGCGTTGGGCTTCTCAACGGGGACATCCAGGGTCTTGATTTCCGTTGAGCGGTTACTCTGGAGAACTAGATCAGAAACAACTGTCTGGGAGTATGTCTCCTTTCCGGTCTCAACGTCCCAGGCCTTGACAACACAGTCTACAGTAACGTCTTCCAATTTGAGATTACTTCCCCAAATCTCAACCTTGACCTTAGTCTCAATATCAACCCTTGTGTATTTGTTCTTGGGGTGCTTGTGCTCTCTACGTGTCATGCCAATAGTGATAGGTGCCATCTCCCGCTTGATGGTGAAGTAGGAATGCTTGGGCTGAAGGTAGTAGTCACAGATGGCCCATGAAGTAACCGGCCAGCAGTCGTTGGTCTGCCAAACCAAGACACCACTGCAATACTCTTTTTTCGGGCCCTGCCACTGTCGCTTCCAAAGCCTATAGGCTGAGGCTAGGGCCTCGGCTTGTAGCAGTTGGCTGTAGTAGACGTAGTCTTCCAAGGGCTCCAGCGTGAAACGGAAATTTTCGGCCATGTACAGACCCAGTCGACGCAACTGTCCATCTGCCTTGTTGTGAAAGTCAATCGTAGATGATGTTGAGAATCGCTCAGGGTCATCTTTGCCTTGTGGAAGGAAAGCATCGATGGTCTTAATATCTGGGAAACCTTCCATACCAAACTCGGAAACGAATCTACCAACGAGCTTATCATAGTCTTGGTACTTTTGTTGAGAACCGTGCCAAACATTCCATTGATGGATATCTCCAATAGTTGGGTCAGTGGTCACCTTGCCACCCCAAGGGCTGGCAATATGATAGACGGCATTTGGATGAAGATCTTTGCAAGCGTCTGGAAGTAGCTTTTCGTAAATGTAGCGGGCAGGGAAGTCGGTCTTTAACCAGCTCTCTGGGTCATGGTCGTCGAAGTCATATGTAAGATTCTCGGACTCACGCAGTTGGTAGTCCTCGTTGTTGCCAGCCCAAAGAACAATTGATGGATGGTGGCGAAGTCGCTTGATATTGGCTCGAGCTTCTCGGTCAATAGACTTCCGTAGGTCAGGCCAGGCAGGATAGTTGCCACAAGCGAACATGAAGTCCTGCCAAACAAGGATGCCGAATTCATCGCAGGCGTCATAGAAGACATCTTCTTCGTAGATACCACCTCCCCAAACTCGGAGCATAAACTGATTGCCATCAGCGACGAGCTTGACCCAGTCTCGGTATCTCTCTTTCGTAATTCGAGGAATGAAGTTATCTGCTGGAATCCAGTTGCTTCCACCGCAGAAGATCGGGATGTTGTTGACTTGAAAAAAGAAGCTGGTACCTGGCTGACCATCAAGCTCTCGTTCAACAAGTTCAAGTTTGCGAAGGCCGATCTTCTTGGAGATTGTATCTATCTCGTTATCGTCCTCGAGAAGAGTGGCCTTGATGGTATACAGGGGTTGTTTTCCATATCTGACTGGATACCAGAGAGCCGGATCTTGGATGTGGAACGTAGTGGTTGCGTCTTTGTCTTTTACATGTGTGGTTTCAGATGCAACCTTCTTTCCATCTAAAGAGACTTCAAAGCGGACTTTTGAGGCTGTGCCTTCAACAGCCGCATGAACAACAACATCCGCCTTCTTGAGGGACTTCTCAACCTCTGACTCAGTGTAGAGATCTGCGATATGAGACTCATAAACTTCAAGGTTGATAGGTCTCCAAGGACCACATGTAAGCAAAGCGGGACCCCAATCCCAGCCCTGAGAATTAGTTAGATACGATGAAACACCAAAGATGGAATGACCTACCCAGTGGTACTGCGCCTTTCTGACAGGCAGTCTTGAGCCATCCCCATTCCAGACAACATACTTGTGGTTAGGATGCTCTTCCACTAACTTCCATCCTCTCAAATACGCCGCATCAAATGTGATGCGGAGCTCATTCTCGCCGTCCCTTTTAAGATTCTTTGTGACGTCCACCCGTTCGGGAACAAACATGTTCTCGGTCTCAAGAATCTTTTCCCCATTCAACTCAACCGTGGCGAAGGTATCAAGACCATCAAAGGCCAGAATCGCCTCTGCACCATCATGAATCTCGGGGCTAGAAAAGGTCGTCTTGTACACCCAGACAGTCTCCCCGATCCATTGAACTTTGAGCTCGTTCTTTCCAATATAAGGGTCAGGAATCTTCTTATGATGTAAAAGGTCAAGATGAACGTTTGTTGGAAATTGAGCGACTGGTAAATAAGCGGAGTCGTCTTCTTTCTCCTGCTTGAATTGCCATTTCTTGTCGATTGGGGTGACAGTGCGGGGAGCCATGACGAAATGGTCTCAGTGAGGCTGTGATTGTACACGTTGTGAGAGAAATCGATTCAGGGGATTTACTTTATGAAAGAGTGAAGTTGAAGAATACAGAAAAGGAATAGAAAGGAATGGTTTGGTTGACGATCCGACCTTTTTGACATGGAAGGAACGATGGCTTTAACCGGGCAATTTGCCAGGGCAGGTGCAAGTCATGATGACCCCGCGATCTACAAATGCATCCAGGTACAATCCTCGTAAGACGTCCAATTCTTTTTCTCAATCTCAATGGTCAGTTACGAGCAATAGCATGTTATTTCAACATCTACACTGCAGAAGAGTTTCCACAAGCGCTTCTACGGCACGTCGATCCGTCACACCAATAAGCGCCAACTCCAATTCTTCAAGCCAAGCTGAGTCCCGAACGATGAATGGTGGAATTTCAACTCCGCAAGCATCTGGTGATGAGTAACTCACTCTGCTTTACTTGTAAATTTGACGTCAGCCCTTTATTCAAGATCAATATTAGCCCACCACTTACACCCCAGTCTTTGGTATAGATGGTGTTGACCTTCACTGTTTGCTTCTGAAGAATAGAGTAATTATTGCTCAAATCGAACAGCTATGTCGACGGGTGGTATCTTCTCGAAGTCTCTAAGAAAGAGTTGACATTACTATGTACATTATTCGGACTCAAGTACAGCTCGCGAACTCGCTTAGTCGTGTGCAGTTCGCAGCTTCATCTCGTCTATCCAAACGCCAAACACGCTGATGAACGAATGTTTTCCTAAACACTACCGGTCTAACCATGCAACCGGATATCTCCAAACACTGCCTATCCATTACCGGGAGCTCCAAACGGAAAAGAGGTAAAACATAGCTTGAACAATCAACAACAACCACCACCTCTCCGCCGATTGCTCAGCGTAAAAACCTCTTCCCACTCCCGTAGTCCCCAGTTCTGCGTCCTGTTCTTTTTCCTCCTCCTTCTCAGTCCGCTATGACCATCGTCCACAGTGGCGCCCGTCATAGAACTCTTGATACTGCCTCCGTCACTGGCTGTGTTCCACCCACCGCTGTCGCCATACTGGATACCACTCGCTGGATCGTCAGGATCAATCTCTCCCAATTCAATCTTTGTGAGAATTATTCTTGCTAGTCTTTCAAAAATCTCGTCAACGCCCTCGCCGTTGAATGCGCTCGCTTCTGTCACCACCGATATTCCTGCCGTGCTAGCCCATCGACTGGATTCCGCTCGCGTAACTTCTCTGCCTTCTGGTGCGACTGTGGCTCTCTGTTGACTTCCTGCGCTTATGGATGCCCCGCGATCTCTGGTCGTGGCTGTACTTGTATAAGAGCTGCCTCCAGCGCCGAGCATACCAGATGTCAGTGTTGAGTTGGATGTGACGCTCGTTGGTGTCGGGGGCGGAAGACTTGTGTCGACGAGTGTATCGGTAAGATCGAGTTTGTTGCCAACGAGCATAAGGCTTAGGTTCGGTGATGCAAGCGCTCGGGCATCATTTAGGAAAGGTTGTAGGTTTCGGAAGGATGCGTGAGAGGTGAGGTCGTAGACGAGGATAGCGCCGGCAGCGCCTCGATAATAGGAGCGAGAGACTGATCGAAAACGTTCAGTTCCCGCCGTATCCCAGAGCTAGACCCTGTTAACGTGCTTTCTTTGTTGTCACGCGATCGAGCGTGGTATACCTGAAGCTTTATCCGTTTCCGCCTTGATCCGGTACCGACTTTGATGATTTTTGTAGCAAATTCTACGCCGATGGTTTGCGACGACAAGACTCTCCATTCATTCTTGACAAAACGATGTAGTAGGCATGACCTATAAAAGCGCAAAACGGTCAGCCGAAGACTTTGGTGTAGGAGCGCCACTATCGCGAAAGAGAGTTTGCAATCGCTCGCTTGCTCGCCAAGTGTGTCGAGTAATGACGTACTTTCCAGTTCCGCTGGGCCCAAGCAATATAATCTTGGCCAGGTAATCATACATGCTCCCTAGCTCCTTATCATGGTCAGCCGCTTGATGTCGCGTCGACAACGATGTTCCTCTCGCCTACCTGCTCCCGAGCCGTACCCGAGCTCTCCTCGCTCGCGCCGGAGTGCCGGCGAGGCCTGGTCATTGCGGGCAAATGACGAGATGGCGGAAAATAATGGCAGATGTGTTTTAGGCGGTCGGACGATATCGCATGTCTTGGCTCTCGGTTGGGTTATCGCGGTAGGTTTGTAGGAAGGGCAGTCGAGTATATAGAGTCGTTGTTGGATGTAGGATATAGAGGAGTAAGATGTCCTTGTTCTTGTTGTTGTAGCCGTTAAAATTGACAAGAAAAGACGATGCAATGCGATCGATCCCTGGACATGGATGGAATGGATGTTTACATGCCCTGTTCTGTCTGCTCGGTGAGAGCGAGGGTGGGTCGCCCTGTAAATAGCTGGAGTCCTCAAGCTGTAACGGGAGATAGCGTCATTAGGTGATGATAACGTGACGATGTATCCGTAAATGGGAGCCCGATAACACCGCCTGAGCTTGAGTGGATCGTTGTCACTGTTTGAATTCTTGGAATAAGATAATTGGCTACAGATAAATAGATTTGCCGATCGGTAGAGATGCAAAATCTGGGGTTCTCGGGACATGAAATCTCTGATTTTTCCACTGATATGGAGACTGATTCACATCATATGCGTCCTCGCCTAAGCCTTTGCTTGCGACTTGCGGTGCATCATGTCGGCATAATTGATAACGCGGCATTTGTCTCACATATTCAGCGTCGTTTCAACCCTGAAGTTACGAAATGAAACAGAAAGTACAAGAATAGAACTGTGTTTTGCTATTCAGCTGATGTTTGCACTATTCCGGGTAAATAAGCTTATTACGTATCTCTTTGAGCGGCACAAGGCCTCAAACATGTCACTAGCCCCACTTTACTGACTAATTTTGCAGGTACCTGCGGGCTACGTAAAGTTCCCGTCAGACAGCTTCTTCGATCAACACCACCAAAATCATCAAAATCCTCATACAAATTGACCCTAATAAGTCTCAAATAAAACGATGAGCTCTCAAAAGATACAAGATTACATAGATGATAACAGCTTTAATACCCCGCCTTCAAAGGCAGCAGCTAATGACCCCACCGGCGTGCCTAACCTTCCGCCCGAAGAGGGCCGCGGCGATGATTTTCAACCTTTCAACCTAGAATATCGTGATTTCAGGATCAACCCTCTGCCCAAGGAACCACTTGAATTATTCCAGCTTTTTATACCTATTTCCCTTGTACAGTCATGGATTGAATACACCAACAGCTGGGTCGCTCACTTGCTCGAAAATGCCGTTATTGACAGCTGGAATACCCCCCTTTCCGAACAGTCCCGCATTCTTAAGTGGGAAGGCATCTCTACTGCAACAGCTTATGTATGGCTTGGGGTCCTTATTTACCTAGGAATTCATAGGGAAATATCCCTCAAGGACCATTGGAAGGCCCCTAGCCTAGGAGATCAGCGCCCTCTTCACTCAATCATCAAGTTCATGCCGTTACGGAAGTTCGAGCTGATCACACGGTATTTCCGCACTTTTGACTACACCAAGCTCGATGTGAGGGATGAGAGTGATCTTCCAAAGACCTTCCAAGCGGCTGAAGAGTGGTCTAATCACATACAAAAGGTGTCTATCGAGCTCTATCTTCCAGGGACTAATCTGACTGTAGATGAGTGCATGGTCCCGTTTACAGGCAGATCGAAAGAGACAACGCTCGTCAAGGGAAAGCCCACGCCGGTGGGCTTTAAAGTCTGGGTTATTGCGCAACAGGGCTTCTTTCTGCAGTGGCTTTGGCATGTGAAGTCATCACCATATACGGCTGTGACGGTCGAGCTACCTATACCAAAGCCGTACGGCAAGAAGGGAAAGCTACGGACCGAGGTCCCCCTCAGCAATACACAGAGCGTCGTAGTCCACCTACTGAAAAGGCTGTCAACGCAGACACATCACGTCTTCACAGATAACCTCTTCTCATCGCCGCAGCTCTTCCGCCTTCTTCGGCAGCTTGGATATGGGGCTACAGGCACGGCACGCCCTAACTGCGGCATCACCACCGAGATGAAGCATATAAAAGAGACCGGGAAGCTTCCTGATGGCACGCCTTTGGTGTATAATGAGGTATATTTGATCCCGACGTATGATAAAAAGGTATAGACAACTTTACATATATTTCCCTTACTAATTCGTCTCTTTCTGTTATCCCTAGGTCCTTCAAATCGCTTGGAAAGATAGCTCTGTGGTGCTCTTCCTTTCAACTGTGCACAGCGGAGCCCCTCACGAGCGCATACCAACAAAGAGGAAGTTGCCTGCCAAAAGAGGCACGAAGGCAGAGGCACAACGCCTGCAGCAGGTCTTCAATGGTGATAGCTTCAAAATGATCCCTATTCCTACTGTTGCCGCTCAGTATAACGTTGAAATGAATCACGTGGACCGCGGTGATCAGATAAGGTCTTATACAACATATCAGCATCGATTCCGGCGCGGTCCTTGGCAGGCGTTGCTTTGGTCTTTCCTCCTTGAAGTCGCACTTGCGAATAGCTTCATTTT